CTTTCATATACTGCTGTACATTCTGTTACAGAATATATTTTCTCCCGCAGAGTCTGTGATGGAGAGAGATCGATATATGAGCCCCACAGAAGCTCAGGCGTTCGGCATCCTTGACAAAGTCCTGGTACACCCCCCACAAGACGGAGAAGATGAACCGGAACTGGTGCAAAAAGCCGAAGAGACCCCACCAAAGTCTGAGCCTTAGGAGGAGGAAGCTGTGAAAATAAATTCCCAGGATGGCCAATAATCATTGAGAAAGCCCAGCTCTATCTTTTTGTAGTTTTTGCTCCCTGGTTCACAGACTTTTCATTGGTATAAGAAGTTTGTTGTACCACCTCCTTCCTGGCAGAGGGAATATATACATTTTGGGCCAGTCTTCATCAGCTACTCTTAGTCATGTTTTTCAAACTGCTGGGTAATAATAGTAGCAGAGAATTTAAGTGGAACTCCTGAAAAAAGAAGTTTGACCTTTGCTGGGTTTAGTTACCTGTTTAGTTACCTCTAATGCTTGCTATACTACATCCAGAAGGCTGCTGGGGATGCTAAATATCTTACTTGTATTCAGGCTTGATTTACTGTCAGCTTTGATCATCTGGCTCAGTTGCTTTAAGTTTGCTCCCTGGTCCTGTGAAGGATTGTGTCATTTACACTTCCCCATGTCCATTCAGAAAATGTCTTGAACTCTATTCACAGAATTAAAGGCGTTCTCTGAATGGACAAGGGGAGAGGAGAGGCTGATGAACATCAGATGCTTCGCTTAGTCCATTCAGAGAAGGCCTTGTGTTTTGTGAATAGAATACAAGAGGTTTTCTGAATGGACAAGGGAAGAGGAGAGGCGATTGAACATCAGGATCTCCCCTAGTCCATTCAGAGAAGGCCTTCTATTTTGTGAATAGAACAAGATGTTTTCTGAATGGACAAGAGGAGAGGCAGATGGGCATCAGGAGCTCCCTTAGTCCATTCAGGGAAAGCCTTGTATTTTGTGAATAGAATATCAAGACGATTCTGAATGGACAAGGGGAGAAGAGAGGCGGATGGACGTGCGGAACTCCCCTAGTCCAGTCTGTGAAAGCCTTGTATTTTGTTTAAATAATACAAGATGTTTTCTGAATGGGCAAGGGGAGAGGAGAGTGAACATCAGGATCTCCCCATGTCCATTCAGAGAAAGCCTTGCATTTTGTAAACAGAACAAGATGTTTTCTGGCTGAGGAGTGTAAATGGCGCAATCCTTCATTGTATGAATACGGGAGCAGCTGAGCCTGAAGATCAAAGCTCACAGTAAATGCAGCATGAATACAACGAAGATGTTTTGGAGCCCCAGAAGCTGTCCAAGCATAGTATACCAAGCACCCTCGGTAGCCTATTGCTCCCCAATGTGACCATGTTGTTGCAGAAAGACCAGCAGCTCATGGCAGTGGTACCCTCTGTACTGCTCTGTTAAATAACAGCAGGACGTCCCATCTCTTTTACTCATAGCCCATTGGTACCACTTTGGGTGTTCTTTTTGTGTCATAGTTTTTACCCTTTCCAAAATTGTTTACCTATGTAACAGGCAATGCCTAAAGTGAAAAGCAGCATCCCTCCAATCTGTGAAGCTTCTTCTGTTACCTAGTACCCGAAATAAAAGCAGGCCCATACTGATGAGCACAAATAGGCTGGAACAGAGCCGCGTGGATCCCTTTACCAGCACTGCTTATAGCATCCAGATTCCGTCTCATTTTTTTTCAGCACTGGTGTGCAATGAAACCTGTAAGCTGATTAGTTGCTATAGGTTTCAGCAGATCGTCACTTTCTATGCCTCATCTCTAGTGGTCAGGGCTTTGTCCTGAAGACCATGTCAATGAAAATAGTCAGAAGCCCATTCAAGAGAGGGATTTGTATAATGTGATATTACATTTTCTGGCCAGTGTACTCTTTGCACAGCACTTTCCCTCTTTCCTATAGGGTTCCTGTATTCCTTATTGCAGCCTTGGTGTCCAGGTTGGGAATAGAACATAGCTGGAAATAAATTATTTTCACATAGATTAAGTTGGTCGTTTTTGTTATTGAGCAGTATTGTGACCGGGTACGATAGGAAAGGAGGACCCTAGACTTGGTTCTTTTATTGATCATAGAAATATTAGTGCTGCTGTTGCCGATTGTTGAAGATAAACTCCAGGGCGGTCATTCCTAAAGGGACTTTGCCACCTTGCCCGTGTGTCTGTGCAAAGGGCTTACCTGTCCTCCTCTGCAGCCTGGGAATATTAAGCACTTCTGGGGATGCATGCGTCAGGCTCCCTGGACCTAGTAATAACTAGTCATATGACATATGCTGCTGAAAATAATCGTTAGCTAGCCGATTATTAAGTTCGGTTAATCAGATAAAAAATACAATTTTAAAAAATGGCTCCAGTGATGGACTACTAGTTTGTATTGAGATTGTAGTCCATCACAGGAGCCAGCTTGGAGCAGTGGAAGTAAAAAAGAAGTGGTGTGCAATATAGTGAAATGAAAAGTGTAAAATTATACAGCAATGAATGCAGAATAGCACCGGCTATAGAGGACTACAAAACCCAGCAAAAGCACATTATACAGCACAATGCAGAATACCACCAGCTATAGAGGACTACAACAAATCCCAGCAATAGTACATTATAGCTGGCGGTATTCTGCATTGCGCTGTATAATGTATTATTGCTGGGATTTGTAGTCCTCTATACAGCCCAATGCAGAATACTGCCAGCTAGAGGAATACAACAAATCCCAGCAATAGTATACATACAGTGTATAATGTATTGCTGGGATTTGTATTCCCATGTATAATATACAGCCCAATGTACCATCAGCTATAGAGAATACAATTCCCAGCAATACATTATAGAGCACCATGTGTGGGTGGGAGTGCAGGCTTACCTGAGCAGTCTTCCAGCAACTTGCTTCTGAGATCGGGCCTGTCTATCGGCAGCTGTCATCCCCCCACACCTGCTCCTCATTCCTCTACGCGTCACTGTGCTGATCGTGGATGTGGGCGGGGGGAGAAGAGGAGGAGGTGTGGAGCTTGGATGTGGGCAGGTCTGGCAGCGGTGAGGTGGGGGAGGAGGTGCGGCGCACAGCGTGTGTGTAGCCGTGAACAGGGCCGTGAACAGGGCCAACTAATCGGAAGCCGATTAATCGATTGAAAAAAGTTGTCAACTTTTTCAATCATCGATTAGTTGTTGCAGCCCTACTGCTGCCGCCGCCGTCAATCGTTTTCAGTGCATATAGGGGTTGGCCTTTCCAGAAACACTGTCAGTTTGCCCTGTATGGGCCACTACTCTCACTCCATCCAAGGCAAGAGTTGTAGTCATTCTCCTATCAATGACCTGGCATTCGGCCTCTCAGGCTTAAGCATTGCATCATTAGAGAAAGTCATATTCTCTCACCACCCCACCCTACCCTCATGATAGGTAGAAGCACTGGATATTTCTCAGCAGCTCAGATGGAGCAATCGGGGATCAGAAATGGGTCAAGGTCTGGGCTTGAAAGAGTGAATCACTGAATCCGGAATTGGTAACGTGAGGGTCTCTAACGAGGTGCTTCACTTACCCAAACATAGCAAGCACATACCAGTGTTCCTGACCATGCCATTTGCCTGGCTGTCATTTTAAAGTTTGGGACTCAATATTTACAACCTAGAACAAGTTGAGAGGAGGAATCCTGACTTTCATTTGCTGCATTCCAAAACCAGGCCATTGACTTTGGGGCTTGTTGAGGTCTTTAATCTGAGGCCAGACACTACAGCAACCTCGTCAACTAGTAAGTCACCCAAAACATTACAGATCAAGTGGCTTTATTCATACACATAATAATGTACATACTTTGTGCTCATCCTTCAAAGTGCGAGTGAAAAGTGCTCAGTTATTAAACAATCCCATCAATTCTTTCCCCAACAACCCGGTTTACACAAAAAGTTGGACCTTCAGCAAATTACAGAAGCTGGTGAACCACAAATTCAAATCTCACAAATCACAGCCAGTTAGTGCATTTCAGAGTAGGAGCCAGTGACTTACAAAAACATCCTATTAAAAAAAAATTGATAAACATTGTATTCAAACTGGTTTTTTAATAACTTAAAATTCAGGTAAATAAAGTGTATGTATAGCCAAAAAACCTCTTCCCTTTAGTAAAGAAAGATTAAAACCCCAGTCAATGCATTTCTTCCTGTCTGTCCCATTGGGGCTATTGACCTTCACTTCCTGTCCTGAAGGAACAGAAAAGGAGATCCCGAATCTCTCCAATGTGAAGGAAATTACCCCCCTGGTCCGGTCCAAGTGTCCCCATTGATTTACCTCCCGCCTCGTTTTGGTCACTAAAAATTTTGTCTTGGTGAATGGAGGTCACCAGAAAGGAGAGAGGCTAAATCTCCTCAGTGGGTAGACCAATAAGTAATTCAAATAGGACATGGAAACCCTTTCATGTGCTATCCAAAAAAAAAAAAAAGTTTGGCTATACATTTACTTTAAGACCTACTACTCTTCATGGTGGTAGGGGTTACCTAATAAGAGCAGTCCATGAATTGTGTCATGAGGTCACCATACAGGTTGGAGGCAGCGACTTCTTCAGAAGGCCATGGGTTAGAGTTGCGTGCAGAAGGACAAGATTGTCGAAAGTGCAAGGGGGAACGTCCAGGGCCAGAGGTGTATAAAGAGTCCCTGCGATGCTGAGATGACCTTCGGTGCATTGATCTGCTGCTACAGATTCCTGTAACGTACAGGGCCTCTCTAGCCTGGCTGTGTTTGTGGTGGAGCGATTCCAATGACCTCCTTCTATTCATGCTGCTGTGGTGGTGAGGGACCCCATTTTGACACTCATCTTCAATGTGAATGACCGGCCTTGGTAGGTGGCAGAGGCTGTTTCGACGTTGAATATCTTCCTTTGACCGTGTTCGATACCGTTCTCTGGAGTGTGTTCTTTCTCTTGATCTGCTTCTGCACTCAGTGGTGGAGCTGGAGTTACCTCTTTCTGCAGACCTACTTCTACAGGCGTCTCTAGGGTGCAGAGTGTCCCGTGACTGACTTCTACGCTGATCCCTGGGTTGAAGTGTCTCACATGACTGACTTGTACATCGATCTTTGGGTTGAAGGGTCTCCTTGGGTTTACTCTTTTGGATGCCGTTAGTACGGATCCCATTGCTGGATCTCTGTTCACCCAGCTCTTCACAGGGCCACACACCTTTGCTGTGGCTGCAATAGTGAGAGCCCCCAAGGTGGGGTTCTAGGTGAGAGGTTTCCTGAAGAGGCGATACTCTATATAAAGAGTCGTTATCGAAACATTCGTAATCTTCTCTGGGTAAGGAATGCGTATCATTGGTCGGTGTCTCTCCCTGATCCATGGCATGTCCCATGTCTTCAGAGTCCGTCTCGTAACAATCACCAGTTGCCTCATGAGGACACCTTGACACACTTTCATTATACTTTACAGTCTCGTGGCAACATGGAGACTCAGTAGTCTTGGAGAGGCTGGCTCTGCGGTGAGAGTGGTGTACTACGGACCTCCACAGCGTATCTCCACGACTTCTCCTCCCCGAATGTGCACTGCATGGGCACATATATAATTATATATCAATCACTTGGTTATGGAAGTGAAAAGAGACACAGCGTGCATCATCCAAGAAACTGAAACAAATAGATCTCGCCAGGGAGACAGTAACTAGGGTTGCCACCCGTACGGGTTTCACCCGGACAGTATGGGTTTTGAATCCTGTGTACGGGTGGGAGGCGGGCTCCCACCCGTACACAGGATTCAAACGGCAGACTTGCTCACCTGGCGGCAGGTGGTGAGCGGTGAGCGCCGGGCAGCGAGCGCTGAGCGGCGCTGCCTCCAGTCACTCCCTCCCTCCTCTCTGATGTCACTTCCTCTCACCATCAGAACACCGTGACCAGAGAGGGGGAGAGAGAGCGAGGGAGAAAGCATCCTCCGGCAGCCTGCATGTGGAGGGGGGGGCGGCGGGTGCTTGCTTGTTGTTATAGCACAAACATGCCCTCATTGAAAAATGCCATAGTTAACCAGTGACATGTTTTATGTGCTATAGCAGTGGTTCTCAACCTGTGTAACATCAGGACCCATATTTGTCCCTGGCTATTAAGTCGTGACCCAAGTCGCACTGCAATGGAACGCACTGCATTGTGGTACCATGCGTTCCTGTGCAGGTGATTGAACAATGGGTGGGAGGTGTGTTTGGAGTGGATCCTCAGCCTGGGGTCCAGTGCTGTGGTGTGACGGAGCTCCATCCATATGTGCATTGCTGGTACAACTCCCTTGTGCGCCCGGTAGAGGTGACGGAAGCCAGAATGTGAGGTCACCCCGGTCCAGGCACCTATGGCACATGGAGCTGTAAGCGATGGATGGATGGATGGATGTCCCTCCTGGCCATAGCTCCAGTCCACCCCTCCTCAAGCTGGCACTCTGTGCCAGGAAGCACATTCTGAATGGCTGTGCTGCATGAGAGCTGACAATACTGCCCTAGGAGTAGGCTGAGAGACTCACCTAGAAAAGTAGAAGGAACACGGGGTCACGACCTACCAGTTGAGAACCAAGGTGCTATAGTACATATCACTGGTGGCACTACCAGGGTCGCAGCGGTCGCAATCGCGACCGGGCCCTGGCGTTCCGCCAATTGGGGGGGGCCCAGCGAGGAAGAAGAGGCGC